CGGCTTGAAGACAATGAGGGCAAAGCATTGCCCAGACCTTGGAATACTTGTAATTTGAAATTTTTCTATCATTAGAGATACATCATTGTTTGGCCGATATCATCAATAAAGTCTTTTCAGAATCCTTTCAACATGTATGAGTGATAAAGTTATGCATTAATGAGTATTAAAGACATAATTAATGTGAACCCAAGTCAAGCTCAGGCAAAATTAAGCTGAGATTATTCCTTAATTCACTTGTTGAAATTTGTAGCAATTTACAAGTTGGAATTAAGCTGATTCCTTATCTTCACTTGTTGAAATTTGTAGCAATTTACAAGTCGAAGATACACCGAGGTTATTGCTTAAGTTCTCATAGCAATGTGTGGGTTGCTTAAACCCTAGGGAAGATGCTTAACACTTGTTGAAATTTGTAGCAACTCACAAGTCTATGTTAAGCCGACATATGATCACCCGCTGAGGTATACAGAAATTTACAGGTTGACATAAAGGCTAAGTATATTGTTTACTACTTGTTGAAAATTTGTAACAATTTACAAGTAAGATAGATCAAGATCACTGTTTGATACTTATTTGAGAAGAAACTTGCAAAATTTACATTCAGAAATATATGTTTTATACTTGTTGAAATTCATGAAAAGTTTGCAGGTCGGTATCTTGCCGAAGTTTAAATTTTATAGTTATACCCGAGGTATGTCACCCCGAGAAGATTACACAAAGGAAGCAACATGAAGAAGCATGCAAAGAACTTCTAAATACAAGACTATGCAGAAACCAGTCAACAGAACATCACAAGATTAAAACATCCATAGAAAAGAACAGTTGCAATTACATATTGAAAAAACCACGTCGGCCATAAGAAGAAGTTTTGCATTGTCCAGAAATTAAGAAAAGTACAAAAATGCAAAGTACAGAAAAAGAAGGAAAAAATACAAAAGGCAATTTTCTCAAGCTTCTTCAATGTTAGCCACTGCAGGGACTGGGACCTCGGACGATTCTGGTGGAACCTCGTCAGCCACTTTATCCGCTTGTATCTCGGCATCAATCTCTGCTAATGATTCCTCAACACTTCTTTCTATCAAGAGAAGATTGGACGATAGCTGCCCAGTAGCAGTTTCCCTAGTTGCCTCCTTGACCTCATCACCCTCCTCATCCAAGGTTAAGTCCATAACCTGCTCAGTAGGAGGAGGGGACTTGGCTACGACGGCATCCTTGGGTTTTCTCACCAAGGCTTCTTCATTGGTTTCCTTATCTTCATCCTCGGCGTCAGCATCAGATTCTGATTTACCTTCAGCTGGAGGTGGAGGTGGAGGAAATGGCAAAGGGATGTCATCAGCATTCCGAAGGGGCGAGTCAACAGGAGATCAAGCTTCTTTATCAGGGACATCCAACCTAGGGAAAAACCCCTGTTGCATGCCTGCCTGACTTGAAGCTTATAATCTTCTGTGACGTCGGCCATACCTTGGGCGTAGGCCTTTTCATCGGCCTCTTTGACTTCGGCCTCTTTCGTGGCTAGAGCTTGCTGGAGTTCCTTCTCCGTTTGGGCCTTCTGAGCCTCGGCCTCTCTTTTCTCGGCCTCAGCAACTTTTCTAACGGCCTCAGCAGCTTCGGCCTTCTCAAGAGCTAAAGTTTGAACTTTAGTTGCAGCCTCGGCTTGATCCTCCAGTTTTTTCATTTTTGCTTCAAGGGACTTTATCTCTCTCTTCATGGAAGATGCTTCCCTTTTCATATCAACCAACCTTTGACGATTTTCAAAAGATTGCATTGAAAATGAATGGGCATGCTGAATGGCCTACAGAAAAAACAGAAATGTGAGATAGTACTCTCGGTAAAGAACGGAAGAAAAAATCACAAGTACAAACAGAAATACTTACTTGAACGGAGTGTTGGAGCATGAGAGCGTAATTCTCATACTCACTAAGCTTAGCATTTCGTTCCAAGTCATTCGGAAGGAGAAGAGCAGTGCTGAGGGCGACACCAACGTTAATGTCGTCAGCACTTTCACTAACCATAATGGGCCTATCCTCCAGGGATAGATCAGGGGCCCAGGGGACGTCAGGCTTCTTTGAAGCCGAGGTCGTCGCAGACGATGACCTTGGCCTCTTTGATTGAGTAGACCCTGAGGGTTGACCCTCAGCTGACCTCTTGGTGGAAACAGAGGTTGATTTTTTGTTTTCTGCCAGCTTTGAAATAGGCGCAGCATCCTCAGCTTCGGCATCTGTAGCCTTGGCTTTAGGCTGAGCTTTTTTAACTCTCTTTGGTTTGGGTGGGAGCATTGATTGCGTTGGTGCGGCTTCGGCGTCAATTGGAAGATCGGCGAGAAGGTCTTGAACGACAGGCCTTGGACGAACCATCTTGGCAGTCTTTACAAGCCTTCGTCAACGTTTACGTTCAGGAATTGGTATTAAGTAGGGGGCCGAAGTTGATGGAAGATCGGCTGGGTCAGATGTGGACTCTTGATCTGTTCGGGATGTAGAAGCAGTTAAGGTTGTGGCTGTGGGTGGAGAAAGACTCTTCTTCCTTTTTCTTGGGACGTCAGGTAAAGTGGATTTGTATGTAGGGATGAAGTTTAGTAACAGTGGGGCTTTTCGTTTATGGATTGGAAGGTTAAGGAGTGTTTTTAGATCTGTTCCTGGGAAGAAGGATTGACGAAAAATTTTCGGTGGCTAACGAAGATCTGCAGGACAAAGAAACAAACGTCAGAAACAAAAAAAATATTAAAGACTTAAATAAAAACAACTAAGTGTTGACTCAAGGCTCTTACTCTTGCCCTCTGTAATTGTTCGAGGAAGAGGGTAGAGGTGGACATCTTCATCTGGGCCAAATTCCCAATTTCCAGAAGCAATGAGAAAATCATCTCCAGCCCCCTTGTTGGAGTCTGGGAGGTCGGCTACGATTTTGTACTGAGTAGATCTCAGTTTAAGGTAATAAACGAAACCCCTATCCTTCAGGTCAAGAGGGCACATGGTATAGCAGTATTGAAGGTCGGCTAGAGTAATTCTAAGGTTCTCTTGCCTAGCTAAAGCAATAATACCGTTAATTACCCTATAGGAATTGATAATAAGTTGCATGGGGTTCAGCTTATAGAAGTAAAGAACTTCGCGAAACAGGGGATCAAGTGGAAGCCGAAGTCCACATTCGGTGAAAGCTACTATAGGGAAGGGCATCGTATGGTCTGTGGGCATGATGATATCACTGTCCCCAGCTAGTTTAAGATGAACATCAGCTGGGATAGAGAATTCTTACCTAAAGTATTCAAGTTTTGTTGGGGTATTTACCCTATGCCTCCACATACCCATTATGTCAATTTAAAATATGTTTCAGAAGATGGGCGTTTTTAGGAAGGGTTACAAGAACCTCGATAAAAATCTAAGAAATGGCTGGTAAAGCTTATTTCAGTTTTCCCTAAATTTGAAGGTTCTACGCACAAATCCCAAACCTAAGAACTCTAAAGACCAAGATTGAAGGCACAGATCTGGGGCAGATAAAAAAAAAGAATCAAGAACAATGGCAAAGAGAATGGTGAAAAAGTATAGAAGTTCAAGGAATAGCCACAAATTCAAGATACAAATAAACCCAAGGCTTCGAACAAGATCAGTAATGGCAACAGGCAGACAAAAGCGCAGAAAGAGAAATTAACATTGAAGGGAATGAATCTTACCGGAACAAGTGAAGCCGAGGCAGTGTTCGCCGAGCTCAGAAATTGGTTGCAATAGCAAAGAAGGCTTCGCAAGAATGAGGGATTAAGGGCAGTTCCAGAAGAGAGATTGAAGCGATAGCAGATTCGAAGAAGAAAGAGCTTTCAGAGAGAGAAAGAGCAAAAAGACAGAATGAAAAAGTAAGGGAAAAATAGAGGCAAAGGAGAAGTTTTGTCAAAAATGTGAAACGGCGGCAAAAATAGGGCAATTATTGCGCCTAGAGCAACGCACGCGTCAGACGGCGCAGACGAACGAATAGACAGCCTTCAGGCGCGTCACTGACACGCTCCAATGAAGACAAAACACGTGAAAGGAACGGTTAGATATGCATGACAGCTCATGCACGTGGGAGAGTACGATCGAAGCCTTGTTCTCCGAAGAGAACACATCGGCTGAAAGTGGATAATCTTGGCTAATCAGTTTTTGAACCATTACTCAGAAAAGAAGTGACAAAATATTGGAATAGGTTCCATCACCTCAAAATGTCGAGGTAATAGAACCTAGGGGGCAGTTGTGGGGATGTATTTTCTGAATACCAACACGTGGCATGGTGACGCCGACGTGTCAGCCGAGGTGCCACGTGCCCTGGTAGTTAAGCCGAGGTAATCTTGGAGAAGCCGAGGTTATCTCCGAGGATATCGAAATCCGAGATAAGGGACAAGAGTCCTAAGACGGAGAGGGGACTTGACCTTGGATAAGGATAGAACTCTTAGGGAGTTTATCTTTATCTCTTTAAGAATCCAAAGTAAACATTGAGATGAAGTTCATAGAAGTCATACTTCTATTGGGACTTGGATTGAGTATATTATAAAAGAGAGGCACCCCCGTGGGTCTAAGGTATGTAATTTATGTTTTGAGTATTCAGTTTAGCACTTGATTATCTTTGAGAGATATACTGACTTGATCGTCGGAGTGCCCCCGGGTGGAAGAACCACCGCCGGAGCTTTTTCTTTCTGTTACAGGTTGCTAAAGCCATCTATTCTGCCTGTGCTCTCCAGCTGATCACTAAACGGGCAGTGTGATCAGATTTTCACCCACACACTATAGTAGCCCCAATTATCTTTTAAGATTTTTAATTTTCTTATTTCTTTATTATTGACCATCACAAAGTCCTTTACAATCAATAACCACTACAACCCATTGAATCATGCATGATCTCATTCCTTCTTATTAAAAGTTTGTCGATTAAATTTCACATCTGGTACATTTTCGTATTACAAATTGATTAACAAGAGGAGTGAAAAGCATAATTCCATTCATTTTTTTTTATTTTATTTTTTATTTTCCAAATTATGAGACCATCTCCTATAGTATTTTAATGTAGGTACACTTCCGTTTAGTGTTGAAAGATTTTTTGTGTTCCGAGACCATCTTAGCTTATAGAGATTTTTCTTTCTTCCAACAAAATTTAGTTAATATGGGCCAGTTTTGCTTTTCCTCCTAATGAAATTTTCTGTTTCTTTTTTTGTTTGTTTGTAAGTTTTCCTTTTGTTGGAGTAGATATGATGATGAATGTCTTTTATGAATATATGCTTATTATATATTTTTTAATTGATGAAAGTGTTCCAACTGAAATAATTAGAATTTACCCAAATCCATATACAACCTAGTAGGAAATCAGCTCAATTAATAGAACGCATTTGAATTACTTGGGAGTATAAACAGAATACAAGGCTCAAAGATGGAGAAAGGGGCTTGTGAAAGAAGCAGAGAGACTGAGAAGTGAGAAGTGGAAGATGTTGCTTTTCTGTCCCACATCGAGTAATGATGAAACAGAGAGGCCACGAACTCAGTTGAAAATGAAGGAGAGGCGACATTAAAAAATCACGCAGCCGCGCGGTGAGCACAAAGCGAACTATTCTTTCGCCTTTTACTAAAGAATACCGTGTGCTCGTCGCAAATAGCGGCATACGCCCATTTTTGGAGGGTTCCTTCCCTATGAAGGGTTGGTCCCCTAAAATTCCAAGTTAAAAGTTTTTGATCTTTAATTTTTACCTGAATGGGTTGATGATGTCCTGCAATTGCTATTTAATATGAGGAATTTACACACGAAATGTTTGGGAGGGTACCAAGCTGATTATGTTCAGTAGAGCTGAGTTGTAATTGTTTATGCTCATTTTTTTATGTTCAGTAGAGCTGAGTTGTAATTGTTTATGCTCATTTTTTCTGCAGGGGATTGCAACTTAGATGCTGTTAATGCCCAAGCTATGAGAAATTTCATGGGAACTACAGACAATTTCTTTCAAAATAGAAAACTACTGAACTGGATGGAGATTTTTTCAGTTTTAATTCTCGATGGGAGCGTGTCGGAAAAAAAAGAAAAAGAAAAAAAAGCATAAGCATGCCAATGGCTGAAATCAATTCACAGAGTGAAGTCCAAAGGTTTATATGATTTAGTAAGCACTTATATTTTGTATTTGCTCAATAATAATGCAAATAAATATGTAATCCTAGTAAGATGTGAATGAATTCAAGTCAAGTTTGTACCAAAGGAGATTATTATTATATTAAAGAATAATGCTATATGTACTAATTAATGTACACATTATGTGATATCATTTGTAGGTTTTGGGTATTTATAACTCGTATAATAAATGTGATCAATAATAATATTATAACACTAATTGGTATACTAGTGTGTATATTAATTGATACATGTAATACTACTGTATATTAATCCACGAGTTTAATGGATGGGTATTATTTGGTGACCAAACGAAGTGAGTCCCGCATCAGTTTGTCATATGGAGGACTGAGTTAGGAATGTTTGTATAAAAACAGCAAGAAGAGAGTAGAGGAAGGCATCTTTGCGCTTGGGGCAATGACGCAGCTAGTGAGGTAATAACCGAGGCGCGTCAATTGCTGGTTGAAAACTATTTCCAAACCCCCTCATAGGCCTGGGTTCAGCCCGGGCCCTTGAGAATTTCTGGAAGGGCCTCCCTCTAACCAAGGGTTAAAGCTCTACAATGCACCAGTTTTAAATGTTTCACTTTAAGACAAGTATTCAGTCATATAGGCCCATGGGCTGTCTTAATTAAATTTGGTTCCCTTGCTTTTTGGATTTTGAAAACTTGGACCATGCATGGGTTGTCCTGACGGAAAAGTCTGGGGGCCAATTTATATCCATGGGTGGACCTCTATTCTATTCATACATGTTTATGCCATAGCTTCATCTACACAAAAGGGCTCTGAATTTCATTGATAACAAAGCAGCCATTCAATTGAAGTATAAATTGAGTTTAAGAGGCATACATATCTTCCCAATTGTGTACCATGACAGAATCATTCATAAACTTTAATCATGTTGTGCAACAGACAGACTGACTTCTGCAGTTGTCATTGCACAGCTACATCTAAACATCCTTGTTAGCAGAACACTTCCAAGTTTAACACCGTGTCTCATTTTGCACCAAGGTCACTTAAATTCACTCAATTGTGGACTTGAACTGAACTTCATTTCATTCTAAAAATTTGTAAACATGTTGATGAGGCATATCAAGCCATGAAAGGCTCCTTCTCAAGGCCGAAAGATTTGATCTCAGAAGAGAGAAGAGGGGAGCGGCCATCCATCCTTATCATTTCACAGCTCCATTAACATGGTGATTGGAGGTCGAAAGAACATGGATTCGTAACAGAACACCTAGCTTTGCACCGTTCAAAGCAGCCACACCACATTTGCACCAAGTTTTGGCAGAGCATCATTTCTTTCCACGTGAGATGCAAGACTTTTATGAGTTCCCTCTCCGCGCTGGACATTGTTTTGATTTTTGCCAATTGTATAGTTGACATTTGAATTTTGTTACAACCAACTTGATTCTGAATCAGAGAGTTTGCTTGGGTGAAACCAGAAAGAAGACAGATTGAAGAGGGGTTTAGAGAGAAGGGCGGGGGGGTGTTGTTGAGCTAGTTTAGTCCCACATTGGGAATATGGGGAGAGAGTGGGATGAGGGCAGTGAATATAAGGATGCAAAGGAGCAAGAAGAAACATACTTACCTGGACGGGGTCAATGGGTGATCAAGAAGGCCCATGGCCTAGGTTGACGACCTCCATTGCACAATTGGGAGGGGCGTCCGCCTAAGGTCTACCCAAGTTGGTAGAGCCTACGTCATAATTTGTGCCAGTGGGGGCCTGCGTTCGCGCGGCCCCTATTCAATTCAAAGTATAAAACTCATCAAATATTGGTCTTTAAATTCAGCGTCTGGGCTTCCAAAAAATATACTATATTTCTTGATTGTAAGTTGGGGCATGTGAAAATAATTTTTTATTGCTACTATGTATATATGTTCATTAAAATTTGGGACCTTTATGAAGGTTTGGGATGGAATAGGCCGTGTGTATGACTTAAAAACCATATAGTAGTAGCACATGAAATTTATGTACACATGGTTGTCAAGTGTTGGTCTTGTGTCAGTTGATCTTGTGCACTTCTCTACTAAGCTGCAAGTCAGTTACTAACTGACATGTGCCAGAGGTGGTGCTGACCATATAACGTTACTCTCCTTTTATTTTCTGTCTATCATTTGCTGGGTAACAATAATTGGCAACAGATTTATAGTCAACGATTTTGAGTTAAAGCGATAATCAGTAGTCAAAGTCAAGATAATACAATAATAATATAATCCTAGAGTCAGGTAAACCCCATTGGTCAGAACTTTAAACCATGCTATATCTACCAAAACAAATATACAAAGATTGTAACTGCCAACTATCTTCAGCCCTACCACCATAAGTGACATTAATCAGGTAAAGCAACATCCTAAGATTTCACTTAATCGCCCCCAGGAGCATCCCCTGAAATTCTTCTGGAACTATGTTTCCCAGAATATGACCAAGATTTCTCCAACTCAGCAGGCATTGGTTTTTCCAACTTCTGGCAAAGTGGTCCTTTAATACTGCTCTTACTTGAGAGTTGTGGTGCTCTACCGGGGCTTTGGACTGGCGGAGGGGAAGAACAGAATGTTGGAGTAGCAAATGCAGAGGTATAAGGGCTATGCTGAATTGAGAAGGGACTAGGCGACATCCGTTTTTGAACGGGAAGACCACCCAAACCTCCCCTGCTGAAAAAGGACTTCGATTCGGCTACAGCGCATTGCTTAGTTGCATCATCTACATAAAGGACATCATCAATCCTTGCCATTATATTGAAGGCCAAGCTCTCCATTACCCTTGAGTAGCTTTCAAGAATCGACTGTCCTACGTCCTGCAACAAAAAAAGAATAAAAATAAGGCTGATTAATACATCGTTATACAGATACATCATTTACAAGTTCTTTTTTTTAGGTGCGTTGGAGGGGAAGGGAAGACTCAAACCTTCGACCTCATAAGATGCATATGTTCTGACACTGGGCTAAGCCAAATGGTTCATTTCCAAGTGTTTATGATAGGATAAATGATACCATATTTGGCTTAAGAATACAGTAGATGGCACTAAATGATCAGTTAAACAGAGAAATCCAAATTGCTATTTGAAATAAACAAGATTCAGCCCATTCAGCAATTCATCAGGTATTGCCAGCAAATTGTTCAATGACTCTGCTTCAAGTAAACTATTATTGCATCATGGAAGATGGAAATGCTTGCTGTTTGTGCAATGAGTAGAGTAGATTGTGCTGGTAAAAGGCTCATCATATGGCTGCTTCCCTAGGCCTCTCACTGAACTAGACCTCTGTTAAATTTAATCAAATCTTCAACAATTATAAAAATCAAATAGCTATGTGATAACTATGTTCCAAGTGTTCAAACTTTTCCTTGTTCTTTAACCTATACTTAGACTAATTGGACATTTAACTGTTTTTGCTCACTAAATGCTAAAGAGGGGAGTAAAGTACCTTGTTGTATTGAATTTTGCTCATGTCCAACGCAGTTTGTGGAAGGCCAGGGAAACGCAGTCTCAGGCCACGTAAAAGTGTCTCTGCTCGCTGTGCCAGGAACTGACTTTTGTCACCATCAGAGACAAGGCCCTTAACCTTGCCTCCCCAATTTGAACGCTTAGCTTTAGGGTGTTTTGTATGTTTTCTTTGGTCTTTCTGCTTCCACACATGTACAGCTGCCTCAATCCTGTTCACCACTTCTAGTGTATGATGCTCTGATGACAGGTCTAGGCATTCAAGAAGATAATCTGGTGAGAATTTCTCAGAAGTTATGTAGCGGTAGATGATATCACCTAGACAAGCCTTTCCACTCTGCAATGACAATTGAATAAGACAACCAAAAAGTTAAATGCATTCCTATCTATTAATTATTAACTATAACTATGATGCATAACATAGACTTGATGGTAAGACCTGTATTCAATTCAATCTATACTATTATCACACGGCAGCACCCCAACTTTATGAAGACTGTTTTGAAGCCCTATCACATTTTTTATTTTGAAAGCAGTCCTTAAAAAATTGATTGATTCATTTGTGCAATGAGTTTATCACATAAGGATTAACAGGTAATTTGATAGATACAATTTCGTACAAACCCACAAGTTTCTCTCTTTTTTATTTCTACGCTGTCAGACTCACTGTGTGTTTAACTCCTATTCTCTCACCTCCCATCCGCCCTTTCATTCATGAGAACCCTAAAACCATTTTAGTTACGTTTTCTAATTTTGCAAATTATAGGTCTCATCATCTGCATCAGAGTAATGGTCAATTCATACTCATGCATTTTAGATACCCTGCAATTTTTATATGTAGCATGAATCCTTCTCTTTAAGTATCCAATATATACTCATCCAATATGATGGTCAATTAATGATCATTAAAGTATTGTTCAGCACAGACATTGTAATACAATAAAGTTTATCAATATTCATATGGAGACACAATAGGGAATGAGCCAACATGTACATATGTATGTAGCTAATATATATTTCGGAATTAAACAAACACAAAATTGCAACCGGTACCTTAGGCAAGGTCTCCAAATAGGCACTTGGAATCTCCATTTCAGCAAGAACGCTGCTATTGATCGCCATTGCTGCCTTGAGTATCTGGTTTGTGCAATCCCTGCATTGCTGCAACCTCTTCCTTGCATCCTCTGATAAACCCTTTGGAGGAACTTTCGGGCATGGGAGCCACCACTTCTCTTCCTGCCTAATTGAAGGCCTCCCACCAGATGTGCCCGATACATACACATCACAATCATCTACACCAGGCACAATTATGCCCCGGTCAACGTACCAAAACTCTGTCTCTTGAAACCCATCAAGGATGCCAATTAACATGCCATCGAGTTTCTTTAGAGCGGGCAGATTCATGTACAAATCAGACCTTGGTCGCGTGGCCATGACTTCGTATGTTCCTCCACCAGGAAATTGCTGTATAGAAGGTACAAGCTCCACAATTGAATCGCTCACACATAACAGCCATTCCATCTCTCTGCACCACATTACCTTCTTTTGTGATGCCAATGGCTCCAACCTCCAGATCTCCCCAAACACAGTGGCTAAAATTGCAAACAAAAGCAGATTTGAGTGACTAAGCAACATTAATACACACAAGCATCACACACAAAGAGTAATTGTTGTCTGACCAGAGAGGTTTGTGATCGCATTTGAGATTGCAAGGGCAGTACAGACTCCTTTACCCCCTCCGGACATGTCTTCCCCAAGTAGAAGCTTAGAAAATCTTTCCTTCATCATGTCAACTTCTATAAATTCATGAAATTAACTAGAAAGTTAGCAAATACATAGAAAAGGTTTTACTCACAGATTTATGGTAGAATATATAACACATGAATCTAACACAGTATTACCAGAAAACGCTAAATTATGTATTGGTACGGATGCTACACTTCTATTAAACAAAAACCAGTTTATAAAATTTTTGTAAATATAAACTGAAAACGTAAACGTTACCAAACACACCCTTAAACGATAAATTTAATGATTTGAAGCTATCCTCAAAGATTTTTCCAATATATTTTATTAAATGTTAACTTAGGAGGAAAATAAGGTCAAGTTTAGCTATCCTAAATAAATACACACTTTTTATCTTTTTTTTCATTACATCATCTCTTTACTTTTCTGCACATCTTTTCGTAAAAAGACAAAAAAATACACTTATTTAGGTCATCCCAAACAAATTTTGATTTGACAAAAACATCAAAAATGAAAAAAAAAAAAATTTATTAGATGTCTAATAGTAGTTAAAATAAAATTGCTCTAAATAAAAGTCTACCTATCGTAGCACACAATTCGTACCACGTTCCTGTTAATTTACGATGCAGGTAGCATAGATCTAACAGATTAATTGTAAAATTGAGGCTAGTAAGATCTAAAACTCACTAATGTACCACGAATTAGCTTCAATTTAGCATCAAAATCACAAATTAAACAGTAAAATAGATTTAAAAAAGAAATGCACTGACCAGACAAATCAGTATCACGTTTCTCCGGCTTATCGCCCCAAACCACATCTTTGCCGCCGATCACCGGAAACATAAACGGCGGTGCCGCCGGCGGAAAACAGGAATTTCCCGTCACCGGACGGAAATTGAACGGAGACGATGACATCGAACTCGAAGCTCCATCGGCATCGTAGAGGCGGTACCAGAAACTACTCGAACTCTCGGACTCACTCACATCGGCACTCAAGCTGTAACTTCCACAGAGCTCACTCTGCCGATCCGAGCCATCTTCAGACGAAACACTCCCCATAGACAATCGATCAAAAGACTCTGACTTGTTCTGTGAAAGCTTAGATGCACATCTCGTCGTCAATGAATGTCTCGCGTGGTCTGTGAATTGCAGAGAAATGGTGATGGTGGTGGTGGAGAAAAAGTAAAAAGAAGATAAAGCAAAATGCAGGTTTACTCACAACGTACTCTTCTTTCCCTGATGATGATGAAGCTGCAAAAGAAGTCCTCACTCACTCTCTACAATTTTTTTTTTCTCTCTCTGTGTAATGAACAGAAGCTGCAAAAGTAAAAGGGTACGGCGTTTGCAGAGTTGTCCAATCTTTTCCGTAACGGCAGAGCTTGGCGTTAGCGATGGTCACCCGACATTATACTTTTCTTAATCCAATGATTTGCTGCCACGTAATATTATAAAATTATTAGTTGATCATAATTTATAATGTCCCTGTTCAATCACTCAATATAAGTTGAAGAATTTCATTCTCTTCACTCATCAAAATACCATTAAAACATCATATAATTATTTTTTTATTTTGATTATTAAAATTTTGAACAAAATATAAGAGCTCGTTCAAAAAGTGGGTTGATTTTTTAATTTTTTTGATTATTTTAGCCTGTAACTAAAAAGTCTGATTTGGAAAGGACTTTTGATTTTTTTGAATTTTTTAACTTTTTTGTGAGAGAAATAATATAATAATTATGGGTTAGATGTGATATTTTATCTTATTAGGCTAAAAAACTTATTTTGTGTTTTTTTTTGGACTATTTTAGCAAAAAAAGCCTCCAAACTAACTTCCCAAACGGAGGCTAAATACATCTGCTTTAAAATACGGATTATCTTTCATTATTTTATAAATTATAAATATTTTATTATCAAATTTTTTTATTTAACAGAATTAACTGAAAAAAGTAAAATTTCTAACTAATTTTTTATACAATTATAAAATTAATTAAATTATTAATTGAAATAAATTTTTAACATCATTAAAAAATTATTAATTGACTAGATGATTTATTAATAATAAAAAATTCATTTGCTATTATAGAAAAGCCGAAATAAAATTTTTAAAATCACTAGAGTGAATCTATATTTTAAGGAAATATCAAGGGATATATTTATAATTTACTCTAAAAAATTTTGTTTCTCACTTTAACTCTTCATATTTTAAATTTTATTTCAAAAATTAACTTATATCCAAAATTAAATAGAAAATAATATTGACATTTATGCGACATAAAAATATTTTATCATTTATAATTCTTTCTTCTAACAAAAACTCATAATTTAATATAATAATTTATTTTTTTATATGACATAAATTCAAAAAATACTATGCACCAAACAGGGTATTTGATGAGTTCAAAAAATAAGAAAAATAAAAAAATAAAAAAATGATAAATCCCACATGGGTATGGGCAATCATTGATTTGCACATGCCGTTGCTTCCATTACTTCCCTTTGAAGACCAAAATCTTCTCCCTTCCAATATTTTAGTAGATTTTGGTTGGATACCCTTTCTTTTTCTTTTTTCTTTTTTTGTGGCTGGAAACGTTTTTTGGAAGGGTGTTTGAATTCTCTTGATTACGTTGATCTCGGTGTGCACTACATGGGAAGATCATGTATGGCTAGATTTTTTGGATGACGAGGCTCATGAGTATTTGAATGCTGCGTGGGAAGGGGGGTTAAGGCGTGCGCGTTGTGTAATGGTGTAGTTAGCCATCTGCTTCAATGTTGAAGGCCATGGTGTTGTGGTCTTAGATTGCGGCAACGGTAATGTTGTTGGTTATTTATTCGTTATGTTAATGGATTTAGTTTGGGGGAGTAAATGTTGACATGTTGTTCGCGATGTCGGCGGTTTGTAAACACATGTATAACGTTGCGATGGTCACACCCCACAAAAAAATCGATGTCTTTGATACATGTTTGCGGAAAGCATAAACAAAATGCATCGCTGATTTGGAAACTTCAATCTGACATATCTACGCCCAAAATAGCAGCGCTATAATGTAGACACCCCATTTTTGACCGACCTTAAGACTCAGACGTCGCCGATTGAGCACTCGGTGATGGTGCATATTGTGCTCATTCAAAAGTTTCAGAGTCTCGGCTGCGAGTCTTGCCTCCGGACTTCCGGGCTCTTTCGTGTCTTCCCTCGGTTTGCGAACCAAGCTCCGTTTTCTCTGTTTTCTCTTCCCGAAGGGAGGGAGAGGTCTTGTAGATCATCTCTCAGTGGCCGTAGGCTACGTTTCGTGGTCGTAGGCCATTTTTCCCGTTTGGAGCCCGGTTTCCCGTTTTTTGGAGCCGACGGCCGTGTGCCTCGGTTCGGGACCGCTTAACCACCTCCGTTTGCTCCGGTTTTTGGCATGCATCTTATTTACTCCCTTTTGAAGGACACTGCGGTCCGAAAAACCAACTTCGTGGTCGAACACCACTTCCAGTGCCTAACAGTCAGCTTTCGGGGCCTCGGGCTGCGCGTTTCGGCCCCCGAACCTCCATTTTGCATCGGTTTGAGTACATTTTTGGCAAGGACCTCTGTTTCATTGTTAGGAAGGTCGTAGAAGGGTGGGAGGCCAGTAATTGTTCGGACAACCAGTTTTATTCCTCCATCGCCCTCCGTCGCCCGTTTTTCTCACTTGAAAGCCAATGTTGACCACCCTAAGGCCACTTTTTCCAGCCCTAAACCACATATTTGTGTTGTACACACCAGGGAGGCCACCAATATCATATGGCCGGCCAGTAATTGTGTGTGACCCTTTTGAACCCCTCCTAAAAGTGGCCTTTTCTCTCTCCTGGTTCACTTTCTCCAGTTTTTGACTACATGGTTGTGTTGTGCACGCATGGGAGGCCCTCTTTCTGGGGTGGCTTGGCCGACCGGCCATGGGGAAGGCCGACCGGCCACCTAAACCCTAGGAAACCGGCCGGCCATGATCCTCTCTCCAGGTACATTACAAATCTGTATTTTGTTTCCCCTCAAATTGTGTATCCGGGGGGCTACACTTTGGGGGGAAAATTTGAATTCCATTCCCCCCCTTTTTTCCCCCTCTTTTGCCTATATAACCAGCACCCCCAGTTGTGTTTTAGGGGGTTACAAAATTTGCTTTAAGGCTCTTGCATTGCATCTCTCTCTCTCTACACTCCAACCCTCAAAACCCCTCAAATCCCACACCCCTTTCTACACCACCACATAGCACCACACCACCACCATCCTTTCCAACACTTGGAGCTGGTTTTCCAGAGCTTGGGAGCACCTTTTCTCAAGCCAAGAGCTGCTGAAGTTTGGTCTACAAGGGTGAGTCTTCATTCTCCCTCTTTTGTGCTTTATTTTGTTCTATATCTAAGCCATACTTACTTGCATATTTGGGCTCCGACCCTAGCTTAAAATAGCATTATTTTGAGCTCCTTTTCATGTTTGTTTAAGGGCCTCTCCCTGTTTGAGGCTTCCTTTTTACACTTGCTTCTTTACCTCTCTTGTATGCCTCTTTCTTGCATAGTATTTTAGGCCTATTTGTAAACTGTTTTGAGCTTGGTTACAAATTGTAAAGTGGCTTATTTTGAGCCCTTCTTCAACATTGTTGAAGGGCTCTTCACTGTTTGAGGCTTCCTTTTGTCACTTGCCTCTTTATCCCTCTTTTGGCCTTATTTTTGCATGTTTTGTTAGCCCTTTGTGATTGTATTTTTGGGCTCTGGTCCGAATTGTAAATAGCCTTATTTTGACCCCCTCTTCATGTTTTATCAAGGGACTTTTTCTTTTTGAAGCTCTCTTTTTGCTCTTTGTGTTTAAACCTCTTTTTAGGCCTTATTTTGCATAGTATTTTAAGCTTGCATGTGCACTGTTTTGGGTTTTGTCACTAACTATAAAATACCATGTTTTGGGCCCCTCTTCAACTTTGTTGAAGGGTCCTCCTCTGTTTGAGGCCAGAAACCATCACTTGCTTCTTTGTCTCCCTTTTGGCCCATTTCTTGCACAATAGTTTAGCCATACTTGTGTTTGTTTTCGTGGCTTGTTGTAAACTTTCAAGTGCTTTATTTTGATCCCCTCTTAAACTTTGTTGAAGGGCTCTTGGCCATTTAGGGCCAGAAGATGCTACTTGCTTCATTATCTCTCTTTTGGAGCCATTTTTGCATGTTAACTTAGCCCTATTTGTGTTCACTTTTTGGCCTTGCTTAAAACTGTAAATATGCTTGTTTTGGGACTGTCTTGATTCTGTCTTCACACTTCATGTTCGAATAATGCATGCTTTGTATAGCTATAGGCCATTGCGTGTGCCTAGTTTTGCGTTTCGGGTCTCATTTCATGCATCCGGTACCATATTACCATGTTTCGGGGCTGTTTTGTATCATATTTTGGTATTGAAATTTGCATGCTTGTATGTCATATTCCATGCCCTGCCATGTTTTGTTAGAGTGGCATTTGTGCTTTAGGTTCAGTCCTCGGTTTGTGTGCACGTGTGTACGCATCTCGAGTGTCTCATTTTCATCGAATGGCTACCGATGTGAGTGTGGCTGAGGTCCAATCATGTTGGTGTAAGTCCATTGTGCATTGAGTATGCCATTTCATTTTATAGCATTGCGTATGCTAGGTTGTATGTTAGAGCATTGCGTATGCCTTGTTACATCGTGCATTGTGTATGCCATCTCATAGCATTGTGCATGCTAGGTTGTATATTAGTTGCATTCATGCATGTCATGCATATTGTATTGTGCTTGGGATAGGAGTTAGCCCGAGCCCGGGAAACGAGGGACGTTTCGTACTTCGAGTGACGGAACGTGTCTCAATTCCCAGTCACCGACATTCCGGATTATCCATGATGGAGTCTTGGTCTTGTTGTGTTTATATGTGCATTCATTTCATATTGAGTCATGTAAATCGACTCCTCGGCCATCATGCATCGATATGCGTGATTGGTGGCACAAAGATCAAGGACTACACTCCCTGAAAAGTAGTCATGCATACATATACGAAAATACTTTGCCATGCCCCTTTGTTGCTCTCTGTTGCAGCAAATCAGAAATCAACAGCCTTCCGGAGCTTGGCACGCATTCCAAGAACAATTGTAAACAGAGGCAAACCGGGGCATCGCGAGGGATTCTCCGCACAAGGCAACCCGAGCATGCATCATTCATCATCCGGAGCAGATTTGAGGCAGTCCCTGGCTTGCATGCCAATTTATTACTTTCCTAATTTAATTTGTTAATTAATTAGGGTTTTGTAATTATTTGGACTGTAATATTCATCGGGGACTTGTATAATTATTTATTCGGACCCTCTGCGCGAGGGCAATGTTGTAATAAGTGTGTGTGTGGTGATGTATGTCTTC